GAGTCTTCACGTGCCTTATCTCCACGCTCCTATTGGTTCACCGAGGCCACGGCTTCCATTGTTTACCATGTCACGCCGAAACCGTCGAAACTCGCTTATTGACGTTCTAGCCCTCAGTGCCGGTGCTGACGTCGACGGGCCCCGAAGACGTCGGCCGCATGATGAAACGCATGAATCGAGTGCATATGCACCTAACCTTCGCGACGACGAGCGAAAGTCTTCAAGCTTCCTCGTTTTTTTTCTTTCATTATAGTCGAAAGAAAAATAAGCTTTTTTTTTTTTCTTTTGGAACTTTTCTAGTTTTGTTAACCGCAAAATGAGAGTCCGATTTATTGAGGGGAAACTGTAATATATACGCGATGTTACATTGCTTTACGATTGTAATTATAATTTATTATTAATTATATTTTATATTGTATTTATGGCAGAAGAGAGCCACCACTAGGACAAGATACAGGCAACATAAACTGCACACATCTTTCAAGTTATCTCCTCCCTTGTATAGCTGTCAGAGGAGCTTCAAACTCGCAATGAAGTCGACTTCGCTTTGAGATGAAGGAAGCAGGTCGCTATTTTCCCTAAACGGAGTTCCGAAGCGATTCGATAAATTTGTGTCGCTAGAACGGCATCGCTAATCCACGGTTCGCTCGAATGAACACCAACATTCGCTAAAGTGTCGTTCGATGAAACATCATAGGCGGGGTTTCGTTCACTAAAACGTCGTTCGATCAAGTCAGTGCCTCCGATGTGCCCAACTCAACGTTATTCACGCACATAGTTGTGTGTTAATACTTCAAGATTTCTAGTTTCTATCATTTTGACGAAGTGAATAGAAAAGGACCTGTAAAAAGTAACTTCGTTTAGTTACAAGTTACTGGAAAATGTATCTAAGATACAACTACAGATACCGAGAAATCAAAGCACGTATAGGTTTGTACCTCAGGTACAACAAAAGTACCTATAGATACCGATCTCCAGTTTCTTGTACCTAGGTACTTTACAACCCTGGTCACAAGTCCCGTGTTTGAATGAACACAGGAAAAAAAACCTGGTTTGAGGGGACTTAATTTCCCTTAGGTTGTCCTCCCTCCTCCGAGTCTTCCGAATATGGTGAGTCGATAGCAGGCACTGGTCTGAAGTACTGCATGCTGAGGTGAGAGCCAAGCGCATAGTTACAGGTAAACTCTGAGAAATCTGTATTGACAATCGTACAGAACCGACTTTTCCTAAAACTCTTGGTAGATGCAAGGCCACAAGGACACTACTTCTCGAGATCCCACGAGAAAGACTGGAAGGGTGTGGAAAAATTAGAGGCCACAGATCGCCAGTTGGCAAACTTTGCAGGACAACTGCAATGTATACCTGATGGTTCTGCCAGAGAACTCTTCCTATATAAGGCATCTCCAAACAGGTCTAAGGCATAACCCTATACCGAGAGGCACCTACCCAAGCGACAGGACTTATCATGGTGAAAGATTGAGGAGAGGTCCAAATAGGCAGATCAAGAACTCCTAGTGGGGGGGGGGGAGGGGGGTAGCTTGTTTGGGATTGAAGTAAACTATCGCTTATCTATGGACACCTCTCCAATAGACCTGGCACATCAATGCCTTGGAGCGGATGGCACCCTTTCTCCTAGCCCTTCAAACACTGGCAAGGGAAGTGCAACCGGGCAGCGTTTTCCGAGGACTGAACAACACAGCGGCGGTAGCAGCCACCACCAAGAGAGGTAGCTTGTGATCCCACCACTCCCCAGAATAGCACACAAACTGTCGTCTTAGTGCTGGGCTTGAAGTACATTGGTCAGGGCACAGCACATTCCAGGCACTCCAACACGGGGCATACCGAGCGCGCCGAAGTACCGCTATCATAATCTTAGGCAACTATGAGGTTACGTGCGGGCTTCAACTGCTACAGTAGTGGTACCATGAACAGTAGGAAACCAATCCCTAGCTTGCCTAATTCCACGTTTGAACTGTGGTATTTAGTCCGGGGCCCAAGCCCCTATGGTGTCAGGGGAGTTCGGACCCTAGTTCAGAGTTGTCTGGTTCTGCCCAGAGCCGAAGCCCAAATGACGTGAGTGTGGGTGCCTAAAGCGTTAACTCTAGTTTGACGCCGAAAGTCACTTGAGACCGCCGCCTTTGTTCGGGGCCGGAGCCCATAGAACGTCAAGGGGGATCGGACCCTACTATAGACCGTTTTATCATGGGTAGCGCCATTTTGAGAGCGAGAGAGAAAAGGGGAAAGGGCTACCGGCGCTTTCCTCCTTTCTGATTGTGTAGAAAGAGTGAAAGTCCCGGATGAGAGGCTTGGCCGGTGTTGGGCGTTTGCAGTGCCCCAACTTCGTTCGCGCTTTCTTCTACGTTTCAAACTCCCAAACTTAATTAGAGCCACGGTCTTCGATGGCGACAGTCGCCCGGTCATCGGGACACCATTGCTGGGTGATAGGGTGCACGGATAACGACAGAAAGCGTCGAATACTGTCCGAGGACCTATGTAGCTTGCATGGAATCCGGCAAGGCAAGTACGGCTGGAATGTTTTTAAGCTCCATTGCTTTCCGCATGACTGGAAATGATGAACCCTTCATACATTTTTGCTTGCAATGGGCCTATTTCAACGTAGCCGCTTTTAGTTGTAATCAACAAGCGATACACGAAACGGGAACCTCAATTAACTTTGTAAACGCCCGGAGCTGCGACATATCGTCTTGCTGTGCTGTTTCTATCTCGGTCCGGACATTTCATCGAATGCCGTTTCACCGAATGCCATTTCATCGAAGCCGTTTCATCGAACACCGTTTCATCGAACGCCGTTTCCTCGAACTCAGTTTCATAGAAGCCGTTTCATCAAAAGCCTTTTCATTGAACAGCGTTAGTCTGTAATATTTTCGAATTTTCTTTAATTTTTACACACAACTTCATCTAACTCTCTGGTTTTTTTTTATTGTTTTTTGTTTTGTTTCTGTTTTTATATCATTGGGTGCAGTGACGAGAAAAGTTCCATCGTGAACATATCCTGCTTCGAGAAGAAAGCCTCCATGATATTATGACCCCTCTCGATGTCACGTGAAACAGTTAAAAATCAGACAAAAAACAAAAAGCACAGACAATTAAAAGTGTTTTAAGTGTCTGTCCTTTACTTGCAGTGTCGTGGTTTCAGTCATGTACATGACTAAAGCTTTTCAGTAAGTCGCATACCCAATTGTTTAATTTCTTTTGATGCCAATTGTTATTATTTTTAGTGATTTGACACCACCCTCAAAACAATTTCACAAGTGACTGCCTTAGTCTTAACAAATGCAAAGTGAAACATCTATAAAGCACTGTTATGCCCCAAAACTCGGTACAGAGCCATAACAAAGAAATTCGATGAAACGGCCCTTAGCGATTCGATGAAACGGCGTTCGATGAAATGTCCGTTCATTCGACGAAATGGCGCTCGATGAAACGGCGTTCGACGAAATGTCCGCTACTCGTTTTTATCTTCGTGTCCCTGTTCTTATATCTCCTTGTGAATGAACGACGAAGACGCTCTAGATGTACTTTTATCGAACCGCAGAAAGCCTCGAAGCAGCCACAAATTATTTTACTATTTGATGCAATATTTTGAGTACTCACCTCCAATTTCTATCGCTGGCACGTTCGCTGCCGCTGTTCCCCTGTCGCCACACTGGCGGATGCCATGACTCAAACAAAGAAACGTGCACACTGGGCTCGAAAACGCAGATCGCAACACACGAGACGTTCCTGCAGCGACTATCAAGCGCCTCAAAGCGCCTTAGTCAACGGAATTAACCCACCAGCGGCACTTCAAGGAGCGCTTTTGCCGGCTTTCTGCTATCGCGCAGGAGATCGCGATTAAAAAACAAACAAACAAACAATAGAACTACGTTTTCAACAATTTCTAGCCTCACCCGGCGGCGGAAATGAGCCTTCAACTAAGTGCTGTAGATGATAAAATCGAGTCAGTCAGCACTGCAAATTATCACTATTAAGATAAATTCAGTTACGAAATTTTACAAGCTGAAACAGCAGTTATCATGAGAAAACTCGCACGCACATTGCGAGCGTCCCCATGTTCATCGGCGGTACAGCGTTCGGTGCGCGCTCCATTCACGAAATGTTCCGAGCGAAGTCGAGAGAGAGAGAGAGAGAGAGAGAGAAAAACTTTATTTAAGAAGTGAGGTCGTTGCTTCGTTCTTGGGCGGTGCCCTTAGTCCAGGGCTCCGTTGGCTTCTGCTATACGCTTGGCCCGTTCAATCAGCCGTCGCTGATCGTCAGGCGCTGTGCTGGTCAGCGCAGCCTCCCAAGACGAGAATGTAGGATGGGGGATAGGTTTGATGCCGTTTCCCAATGGGGTTGGGCAGGTCCATGTGGAGTGGTACAAGGTGGGTTGTGGGGATTGGCAACCCGGACATATGTCTGGGTACCTGGTGGGAAAGAATCGTTGTTTATGGAATAGGTTTGGGTAGGTGTGGGTCTGTAGTAGGCGCCATGCGATTTCCTCCTGCCGGGTTAGTGACTTGTGTGGGGGAGGAAGGGTTTTGCGCTGGGAGCGGTAGTATTCTGTGACATTATTGTAAGTGAGTAGGGGGGCTGGGGGAAGGTTGGTGCTGTAGTGTCTGGTGCTAAATTCCTCTCTCGCTTCGTGTAATGCCCGGTGGGTTATTTCTCGGGCGAGCGCGTGTGCGCTCTCATTACCGGGAAGAGAAGCATGACCAGGTGTCCATATAATGCGGACCGGTGGTAGCAAGGAGGGGTCAAGGGGTGATAGAATTCGTAATGTTAAATGGGAGAGGGAGTTTCTGGCATATGCTCTACATGCCGCTTGTGAGTCGGTGATGATAGTGCATGGAACCTCATGATCCTTGATTGTGTGATATAAGTGTGCTAAGGCCAATGCAATAGCCACCTCTTCCGAGGTGGTGGTGGGGAGCTTGCCTCGAAGGGAGGCCGTTGTCCTGTTCTGACCGTTGGAATCGCAGATGGCTATGCTCATATACTTATGTGGTGCGGGATATTCTGCCGCGTCGGTGTAAAAGGTACATGGGTCGTTTCCGTGCAGTCGTTGGAGAGCACGCACTCTTGCCGCTCTCCTTCCGGCATTGAGCTCTGGGTGCATGTTTCGTGGGAGTGGCATGACCCGTATCCTGGCAGTGATTGCGGGTGGAGCTGGCCCTACTTTGATGGTGTGCTCTGGGATTTCGAAGCTCTGATAGCCGAGTCTGCGAAGGACATGTTGTCCTGTCTTTGTGTAGCTCATACGGGTGCGTTGTCCGGTTGTGTGGGCTTCGATCAGTTCCTCAATAGTATTGTGCAGGCCGAGTTGGAGTAATCGTTGGGTTGAGGTGTACGGGGGGAGTCCAAGGGCCGTTTTAATCGCTGTGCGGAGAATGATGTTGAGTCTATTTAGCTCCGTTTGGTTTAGTTTGTGGTATGGGGCGTGATATATTATTCGGCTGATGAGAAGTGCTTGCACAACCCTAATGGTATCGGTTTCTTTGAGGCCGCCTCTTTTGTTGGCGACTCTGCGTATGAGGTGGGCTATTTGGATGCATTGCTTCTTTAGCAGCTGCACGGTATGGGTGGCTTTTGCATTGGCTTGGAGGTGCAAGCCAAGTATCCTTAGACGGTCGGTTTTTGGTATGGGGGTGCCTTCAAGGTGTATGGTGATTTCGTCTGTGGTCTTGTTCCGTTCATTAGTTTTGCGTGCTCCTCGGATGAGCAGGAGTTCAGACTTTTCAGCTGCGCAGCTGAGTCCTGCTGCTATAGCGAATTTCTGGGTGGTGTCTACTGCTTCCTGAAGGTTGTCTTGTATCTGGCCGTCCGAGCCCTTGCTGGTCCATATGGTGATGTCGTCGGCATACAGTGCGTGTTGGATGTTGGGTGTTTTGGCGAGGAGACGAGGAAGCCCTGCCATGGCAATGTTAAAAAGTGTTGGCGAGAGGACTGAACCTTGGGGAGTGCCCTTTCCCGTGAGCAGGATTGGGTCGGATCGATGATCGCCGATCCCCAAGGTGGCGGTTCGGTCGGATAAGAAAGCTCGTATGTATTCGTAGGTCTTCTTTCCGCATTGGGATCGGGCGAGGCCTTCCAGGATGGCGTCATGTGACACGTTGTCAAAGGCTCCTTTGAGGTCAAGAGCCAAAACCGCCCTTGTCTGTGCCCGTCCTGGGTGGTCGAGGATGTCTTCTTTAAGTTGGAGAAGTATATCTTGGGTGGATAGGTTTTTCCTGAAGCCGAACATGGTCTCTGCGAAGAAGTTGATGGCTTCCAGGTGTGGTTGGAGTCGTTTAAGGACTATGTGCTCCAAGAGTTTTCCTATGCATGACGTGAGAGATATGGGGCGAAGATTCTCGAGGGAGAGTGGCTTGCCCGGCTTGGGTATGAGGGTTATGTCTGCATGTCGCCAATCTTGTGGCAGCGTACCAGTGTTCCAAGCCTCGTTATAATAAGCCGTAAGGGCGGTGATGGATCCGTCGTCGAGATTTTTAAGCATTTTGTATGTAATGCCGTCTTTACCTGGTGTCGTGCTTCGGGTTAGGTTTGTAAGTGCGCTTCGGACTTCGGATTCGGTGATGTCTGTGTCAAGGGGATGCGTGGCTTCTTTGTGCGGGTATGAAGAGTATTTGGGTTTTGGGCCAGTTGCTAAGTAACGTTCTCTGAGAGCGTCCCATAGCTCATTTTCCTTTCGTGTTTCTCGGTGAAGAAGTTTGGTGATTGCGTGGGATGTTGCCGCCTTGGTTTTTGTTGGGTCTATGAGACTTCGGAGAAGCGTCCAGGCCCGTTTGGTTCCGAGGGTTCCTTGGAGCTGATCACAAAGTTTGTACCAGTTGGTTTGTGTGAGTTCCTCGGCATACTGTTCTGCCTCTAAGGTGAGCTCTGCTATGCGTTTTCGGAGTTTTCGGTTGTGTTTGCGAGTTCTCCATCTCCGGGTGAGTCCCTGCGAGCTTCCCACAGGTGGAGTAGATGTGGGTCTATAACTGGGGCTGCACTTGTGGTTTTCACCTGCGTAGTCACCTTGTCAATGTCATTTTTAAGTTCCTGGATCCATTGTGCTAGGGGTGGGTGTGCTTCTGCTGTTTCCCCCTCCGGGGGTGGTCTTAGCTGTCGGAAGGCGTCCCAGTTTATGAGTCGTTGTGTGCCCGTGGCCTCGGCCGACCTGGGTCTGGATCTCAGTCTCAAGAATGTAATGGTCGCTCCCCAGGTTTTCTTGGAGGTTTGTCCAGGTACATGGCTTTATTGCTCGCACGAGCGTTAGGTCCGGGCTCGTGTCGTGGTTTACGCTGTTACCCAGCCTTGTCGGTTGGTCAGGCTCGGTCAGGAGGGTTAGCTGGTTCCTAGATATAGTCGTAGCTAACTTCCGTCCCTTTACTGTCTCATGTTCGTAGCCCCAGGCTGGGTGTGCCGCGTTGAAATCCCCCACTACAAGAAAGGTGTTTTCTCGTGGTCGGGCTATTCGAATCGCGTCGAGGAAGATGTTGTCGAAGGTGTCTCTCTTGCCACCCTTGGGGGGACTATAAATATTCAGTATGAAGAGGCTGGTTCCTCCGCGTTTCTGGGGGAGGAGCTCCAGAAGAACATGTGGGATGTCTACATTTCTGTCCATGGTATGCTCTATGACGGGGATGTGTTTTGCGACCAGAGTCGCTACTCGCGGTGTATCTCCGTGGATTGTATTCTGCACATATGTTTCGTATCCAGACAGGTTGGGGGCGCAATTGGTTTCTTGTATGGCTATGGCGTCGGGGCGTTGTGTGTGGGTGCTGAGGTATTGTGTGAGGGCTCCGCGTTTGCGTCGGTACCCTCTACAGTTCCATTGCCAGATTCGCGTAGAGATCACGGGGGCGGTAGGGGGAGAGTGCTTTTTGTTTTGTTTCCTAGTGTTTGTCTTCGTGTTGGGGCTGGCGTTGAGAGACGTCGGATTGTGCCGCTACAGCAGGGACACAGGAGGCTTCGGTAGTCGGTCGGTGGTAAGGGTGTACTCGTCTCGCTTCACGATGATCGCGTTCACCGTGTGTGTCCGTGTGCAACGGGAGGTTCGGCTCTGCCTGAGAGAGCTTGATTCGGTGGTCTGTTAGAGCGGCGTGGATGAGTTGGGGGAGTTGTAGAGCAATCTGCTGTATTATTTGTTGTTTCATTTCCTGTATGTCCTGTGTTATTTCCTGCCGTATTTTTTCGGCGGGTGCGAGTTTCTCCTCGCGTGGTGTCTGTCGGAGTGCTTCCTTGAGCTCTTCTATGGGTTGTCTGGTGAGGGCCCTGATTTCTTCTCGGAAGTTCCTTAACTCCTCTTGAATTTCTCTTCGGAAACTCTGTAGGGATTGGGCAAAATGCTCCTTGGTCTTTGCGAACGTGTCTGAATCTGGTTGTGCTGTCGTCTGCGTGTCGGTTGCTGTCATGATTGTTCGCTTTGTGATGATATCCCGTATAGTGTCCGGTACTGGTGTGTGGGGGGAGGGAGCGTCTGCGAGTGTGGGGACGTAGGGAGGGTTAGGAGGCTGCGCTGCCCAGCTTACCTTCGTTTCGTTGCGGTCATCCCCGGGGAGGGTGGGTTTCTGTTTTCCCCTTTGGTCCGTTCGCTGCGTCTCTCCGTATGTCCGGGGCCGACTTTGTGACCTCGAGCTGGAACGGGACTTATTCCTGCCGACGTGTTTCGGGTGTCCTGTGGGTGGGCTGGGCTCGTGGCAATCTTGCGGTGTGGAGTCGGCCAGGAAGATGAAAGGATTAGGATCTTCCCAGGTTTTGCTTTGTAGTTTCGGCCATTGAGGGTCTGCACTTCTTGGTTGGGGCGGTGGGGGCGGTGGCGGTGGTAGGGGTGATTTCTGTCGTCCTTGCATTTGTTGGTGTTGTTGGACGTGTTTCTTGTTGTATGGTCCTCTCTGTCGGGCCGGGCAGCGCGGGTCGACCGCTGGGTGTTCACCGCCACAATTTATGCAGTAGGGTTGGCACTGGTGATCTTCCATGGCGCCGCCAGGTGTTCCGCAGGTGGTGCATCGGCTCTTCTCCGGTTGCGGGCACACGTCGGTGCGATGTCCTAGGCCCAGGCAAACGCCGCATATTTGTTTTCTTGGTTGGTAGGGTCTGCATGGGTATTCACCGCCCGATAGGTACACGTAGTGGGGTACCTTGAGTCCCTCAAATGTGATGATGGCAGTGTTAGTCTGTCCCATCATTCTGGCGTACAAGATGTTGGTCCCGGGGGCACGTAATTCCTCAGTGAGTGTCTCGGCTGTCGGTCTGGTGTCTACACCGGAGATGATGCCTCTGCATGAATTGTCGGGGACTGCCAGGTATGTTGTGACTTCGTATTGCCTGGTTTCGAGAGTTAGCGCCGAGATTGCTTGTATGCGGGAGGATGTCTCTAGTCTTGGGGTGCTGATGATCGCCAGGTTCTGGTCACGGCGGATTCTTATAGTGATATCGGACGTTTCGGTGGACGAGAGTTTAGATGCCACGAGGATGGCTCGTGTGAGCTTGTCCGTACTCCAGGCTCCGAGGTTGAGACCGTCTCTCGGCCGGATGACCACTTTGTAGTCGTCGATCGGGAGGGGCGGTAGCCTTTTTTGGTGCAGCGTTTGTGTTTGTGCTCGGCGGCTCCGGTTCTCCTGAGTGTAGGGGGAGCCGGGATCACCTGCTCTCCTACGGGGATTTGAGGAGTGGTTGGGTGCTTTCTCGGCAGCAGCGGCCTTTTCCCTCTCGGATTGAAGTTGTTGTCTTCGGGCTCGCCTGCTGACTACGTCCGTCCAAGAGAAGTTATTTGTTTCCTCCTGTTGTTGATGCGAGGCATCTTTACTGTGTGACTCGTCGTTGTTTGGGTTGGGGTTCCCATTGAGATCGGCCGCGCGTTCATTTTCATCTCGGTTGGTCGGTTGGCGCTGGGATAATGCTTGACTACTTTCCATGATGGTTAGGGGCAAGCGTCCGCCTGTTGCCGGGTTGAGAGCTGCGCTCTGATGGCGCGGGCGGCGCCGGCCGCCGTGCTCGTCGTTTGGCTTAGCTGGGCGGGTTTCGGTTTGTGTCTTAGGAGTCTGATAATGTTAAAAGTGGTGGGCTCACCGGGACTTGTGGACTTGTGTGGTCTCAATGGATGCCGTTCATCGTAGGCAGCCGTTTGGTGTCGGCCCCACCCATGTGGGGTAGGAATCTCGGGCTTCCAGGCTCGGCGAGGCGAAATCGGGGGCCGCCGACCGGGGAGCGGGCCTCTCGATGTTTATACTGGAGGCTCGCGTTTCGGAGCGGGGGAACTCGGCGAGGACGGAGAGCTTCAAGAGCACGTCCGTTCTCGACGGAGGTTGAGCGAAGTCCTGAAGTCGAGAGGATGGCGTTGAGGAAACGCCTTTTTGGTTTACAGACGCAATCCACTGCCGCCGGAGACTGGGGTCATGTGGAAAGCGATGGAGCTCAAAGACATTGCAGCCGCTCTCGCCTTGCCGGATTCCTTGCAATCTACATATGTCCTCGGACAGTATTCTATGCTTTCTGTTTTTGTTGTTGCACCCTATGACCGAGCAATGGTGTCCCGATGACCGGGGAACTGTTGCCATCGAAGCCTCTGGCTCTAACTAAGTTTGCGAGTTTCAAACAGGAAAGAAAGCGCGAACGAAGTTGGGGCACAGCATACACCCAACACCGGCGAAGCCTCTCATCCGGGACTTTCACTCTTTCTACACAATCAGAAAGGAGGAAAGCGCCGGAAGCCCTTTCCCCTTTTCTCTCTTGCCCTCTTTCAGTAAAACGGTCTATAGACCGAAAATTGTTGGGCTTTGTCCAGAGCCGTAGCCCGGACATGAGTGGGGACAGGTCCTTATTACGACACTCCTCCGCCTTCGTTTGGGGCCGGGGCCCAGAGAACCTAGGCCTAATACAGATAACAAACGTGCGACGAAGGGGTTTACTACGGTGGATCGAACGCCATTTCATCGAAACACGTTTTAGAGGAGGGGCACGTTTTATCGAAGCCCGGTTTAGACTGAGAAACCGGAGCCTTTAGAGAAACTCTGTTTATCGAAAAGGAACGCTGTTTAAAAAAGGCTTCCCTGCTTTGCGCGTGTATCACTGGGGCGACGCTCACGCCGTCAAAAACCGGGGAACAAGCCACTAAACACAACTGTCACTGTAAAAAAAAAAAAATCGCATGTGGAAGCGTTGCGTGCGTAAAAAGCTGTTATATGAGCGACGGAAGAATTAAAGGGCCTCACTGGATGCACAAAAGCGAATCCTTTGCTCTGAATATTTAACACTGGAGCTAATATTAGAAATGCGCATTTAGCATGTTTGCATGTCGTCTCACGTGACCTCATGATGGCACATGATACCACGACGTGATGTGCCATTGTGGCGTCACATGACACCCGAACTTGACGTCAAGTCGCACATGAGTCACGTGACACGACGAAGTCACGTGACCTGCCTATTGGTCAAATGTAATCTGTTGCTTTATTTCAGGTTATAAGTATTGGGACGTGTTCGTGAGTTTGACGAAACGACTTTCGAGATCGGCGGTCATGATTTGGTGGGACCAGGTCAAACTACTCGTGTGATTTCTTGTCTCTGCAATAATATTTATTCGCAGATCAACGGTGTTTTCCTTCGTCTTCCCGTTGGTTCTATCAACCCACAGCAAAGAGAGGAGATACTAAAGATGAGATTCATAGCCAGAAGCCAGTAGGTCGCCTTTAGCAACCCACAGGCTGAAGCCACTCACGGCCTCAGAAATGTAGGACATGGCTTTCGCATTCGAACGCGTTGGACGAGTGCAGTGAAGACAAAGGCAGCTAGCTTGAGGCGTACCCACTAATCCTTCCAATCAGAGCTCGGCATTCGGACGTCCCCGCGCGTCCTCATCTCCTCCTTTTTTCTTTTTTCTTTTTCTCGGCGCATAAGAACGTCAATGGACAGATCACGAAGCTAAGAACACCCTGGTTGTCGTTGACTATAGTATTCCGGGTGATTTTTTCTTTTAAATTGGAACAGATTTATTGCAAAAAATCCGTAAAAGATACGCACTAATACGGTTTGTGCAGATGAGTTATAC